CATAGGCGACCTGTGTTTACATTTAGAAACAGCATGGATGCCCTCAAACCTGTGCTGGTGTTGTCTCTTGTCCACGTGCTTTTTGCTTGCTTGCTTGTTTTTACAAGCCCAAATACTGCTCCATGTACAAGAACATTGGTGAAGGACGATGTTCAGGATGGTTATTTTCTGCCACCTTGCCATTCCACTTCCTCCTACACCTTCCACTGGTTAACATCAGGATAGATTCTGTTTCAGGCCCACAGTGACTCACGTCTCCAACTCTCCCACAAACTCTTTTTTTCTCCCACCACCACTGCCAGCTGGTGGGAGAACTTTGAGACAGAAATTTTGCTCCCAGAGGAATGGCGTGACTATTTGCATATGTCCTGGTTCTCGCTCCTGTCGTTGTCGGAGTGATTACATCAGGGGTGGGCAACCCTGATCCTCGAGGGCCACAATCCTGCATGTTTTCGATGTTTCCTTCTTCCAACACACCTCATTCAAATGATCAGGATCGTTATCAGGCTTCTGCAGAGCGTGATGATGAGCTGATTGAAAGTGAAGCAGGTATATTTATATGACTGTAATCATATTTTCTTTGAGAAAATATAGTCTTTTGTTGCCATTACATGAATTTTGGTTTTCTTAAAGATCAGCAAAATTTGGATTTGGTGCAAATATTAAAATGTAACAATTAAGTAATTTACTGTTAAGACATGTCACAATGGTAATGTGGACTCAATTGTAGGACCACATAAACTGGTGTGCAAAGGGGTCTTTATATTCTTATTAAATGTTCGATGTTACAAGTTGCTTCCATGTTTTTAGGTTGAAATTTAACAACATATGTCTTTCATCAATGGATTCACATTTATTTATTTATATACATTTACATTTTTAGACACAACATTTAAATGAGCCAATACGATGTCTCTGATGTACGTAATGTCAAGTTTGTTTTGCCTTTTCTTCTGCATTGTCGTTGAATGATGTATCTGATGTTAAATGGTTGCTGGATTCCCCACTGATGAAGATGAAGAGGAACAGGATGATGAAAATATGGCAAAAAGTCAGTCAATAAAAACACATGTTGTTGTACCACAGGTTGATGTGATTTGACAAATCATCCTCACAAACACAATTTTTAATGTTTTACTCATAAATAAACTCTGAATGTTTCTATGTAGGTGAACTGTTTCCCCTCAAATCTCCAATATCAGGAACATATTGATCTGTTCTCCTCTTTGCTTCTTTCCAGAGTATAAACTGAGGAGCCTGAAGGTCAGAATGATGTTTGTACCAGAAAAGGACAATTCTGTGATCAGTTGTCGTACATGAGAGTGTGACAGATTGTCCTGCTCCACAGACTTCATCTTCTACAGGAGAGATTGTGTCTCCAGCTATTAGTCCTGGAAAAAGTAGAGAAAATGAGGCCATCAGACTCACATTGTCCATTATTGTTTTCAGCTCAGCTCAGCCAATCAAAGTGTTGTACAACTGTGTGTCGTCTCCATATGAATATTTCCTGATAACTTCACCAAGCAGAAGCACGTATAAGCTAAAGAGGTTCCAGGATAGAACCTTTCGGGTGTCCGGGGCCAATATTTCTTACATTGTTTATGACTGCACGAACCAAAGGAAAAAAATAACGTCTTCAGGAAGATGGTTGACAGTGTTGACTGCACCTCGAGAATGGAGTAGAACAGGAACAGAGTCATTCTTGTAGTCAGTATTGATCCTGATATCATTGATTTTTTTGAATGGTTTATTACTGGAACTTGAGTTGTAGTGGAAGACAGAGCAGCAAACCTCTGTAATCTGAATTGGACAACTGGACACAATTCAACATGACACCTTCTTTAAATCTTTAGCATCTCCAAGATTTGACCAAAAATTTTCCGACTGTTGAAATGGCTTCAGTGTTTCTAAAAAAATTTAAATACCCCTCGTGTTGGAAAAGAAAATGATTCCCCACTGAATCCTAACAAACCATAGAAGAGTAACAGAGTGTGTCTCCCTCTAGTGGATGTTGTGGAGTTTTGCGTTGTCTTTGCCTCAAAGGTTTTTGTACAGAGTTTTGCTGTTTCCTGTCACTGTGGGCCTCACAGCACAGTAGTACACAGCAGAGTCTGTCACTGCAGCAGAGGAGATCTTCAGAGTGATTTGGTTTTTATCACCACTCACTGTAGCAGAGAGTCCAGCTTGTGTTTCATTCTGTGTTCCTGAGTGATAGATGAGGAACTCTGGAGGTTTTCCTGGATGTTGTTGATACCAGTAAAACTGATCACTACCAGTTGCTTGTTTGGAGTATTTGTAGGTCAGAGTGACAGTGCTGCCTTCCAAACTGGACTCTTCATCCTTCACTGCAGTCAGTTGTTGACATCCAACACCTAAATGAAGCGATAACTGTGAAAACCCATATTAAAGTCTAGGCACATGTTCCAGAGATTTCTAACAAACAGATCATTTCAAGACATTTCTTCTTCCTGCTTTAACCTACCTTTTAATGTGATCACCAACAAAGAAAACATGACCCAGTAATGCAGTGACAGCATCTTCCACACACTATCTGTTATGTTGGTTTACATACTGAATGTATGTGACAGTGGGAGTCCTTTTCTGTTCTGCTCTTTGACAGAGTTGCTCCTCCCTCAACATGTTCCTCCTCTCATATCACTGGATGTTCTGAACACCAAAACCTCACTTGAATATATGTTACAGCTACACAAACACAAGAACCGCTGTTATTTTGCTGGATTTCTATTGATTTGCATTTAAACCACTTTCCAGAATCATAATTTTCCTTCCTGTGGTTATTGGTTTGAAAATCCACTGCTTTCTGCTACTGTGTCAGAAGAAGGAGAGAGAAGTTGTCAAAGTTCTATGACTTTTGAGAAACTGGTGCAGCAACATTATTATTTGCAGCACCTGTAAAAGCTGATCCTTTGAAATGTGACTGAACTTGTGGCAAATCAGACAGAATTCTGGAAACAGGTCATTGCACCGTCTTCAATATTGTTCATTGTTCATTTGTATTCTGTAAAATATAGTGTCTGAATGTATAAACTTCATGTTTTCAGACTGGGGAATTGTGGTAATAGTACACATAAACACAGTCTTATTTTCAAAGCTATCTTAAGGTGTTTAGTGCCTCCAGAAATGTAAAAGTAGTGATGTGGACTCATTTGTAGGACCACATAAACTGGTGTACATAGGCGACTATATATTGTCATCATATGTGCAAAGTTACAAGTTGCTTCCATGTTGTCTTCATGTTGATATTTAACAACATATGATGCTCATTCCTCAATGAATTCACATTTGATTTATTTGCAGAAAGAACAACTTAAAAAAGGTCTTACAATGTCTCTGCTGGAATTAATGTCAAGTTTGTATCGTCTTTACTTCCTCATTGTAGTTGGATCTTGGATGGTGACAGAATATGTAC